CGTCAGAGGTCATTTCGTGGGGGATCGCAGTTCCCCCGGGTGAGGTACGGGGGGGGGGGCAGATGACGAAGCCCCGCCCCCTGCTTCCGGCCGCCCCGCTTCCGGCCCTCATTCAGCCAGGAGGAGGCAGGAGAAGAGGGAGGGTAAGTTGCTTCCTCCCTGCCTCTCCCCACCCCTGCCTGCCTGGGGCCAGGGAGGGCCTTCGCGGGACTTCCTTGCACTCCCGCTGGCCTTGCAGGTCCACCGCCGGGCCCCTCATGGGGCTCGGCAGTGGAGCTGCAAGGCCGGCGGCGGCCGGGACCGTTGGGGGCGGGGTGTGTGGCCTTATGACACAGTTCCGGTGATGTCAGGGGGTGTGGTATATGCTAATGAGTTCCCCCTAGCTCTTTTTCTATGAAACGACCCCTGGCTACCGTGTGGGTGGGAAAGTATAGACTTTCCCACCCACATGGCAGTCAGTTTCCAGGGTGGCTGTTTCTTCACGCTGCCACCAGGAGGCTTTGGGGAGGCGGGTTTTCAAATCAGCAGTGTGTCAGGTTCTATAGCCAACAACTGAGTACACGCTTCATGAAAGGTTATACTTTATTGAAGAGCTATAGATGCATTAACAAAATGTATATGCTGTATTTTTTTTAAAAAAAGTCAGAAAACTGTTCTAATATCTGTGTTATTTTTAAAATACAAAATAAAACAAAAAAAATGTTTAAAAAAAACAAAAAAGAAAAAAAGCATATTCCCAAACATCAAGAAATAATCCTTAGGGCTCTGGTCTGAACCCCCTCTTCCCACAGTCCTCTGGGAAACCTGTGACACAGTGAAATAGTGATATAACACAATAGCAATACATGTACCAGACAGTGTTCCCTCTGAGCTGAGTTAGTGTGAGCCAGCTCACGGTTTTATCCTGCAGTTCACACATTTTTGTCTTGGTTCAGGAAGGATGGCTCCAGAGCAAACTTTTTTATGCAGGGGCCAAATCGCTTGCTCACAACTTTAATGCCAGTAGCTCACAAGGTAGAATTTTTGCTCACAAGGCTCCACAGCTTAGAGGGAGCATTGGTACCAGATTCTTGGAATTCCCACCTTTTCTTTGTGAGTATTTTGTGTGTATGTGTGCTTGTGTGTCTGGAAGTCATGGTGACTTCTGGCAACCCCTAGTGGGGCTAGGACATTTCAGAGAGGTGGCTTCATACTGCCTGCCTCTGCCTCACGGCCCTGGTATTCCTTGGCAGTCTCCCATCCAAGTACTTGCCAGAGTCGGCCTGCTGAGCTTCTGAAATCTGATGAGATTGGGGCTGTCCAGGTCAGGGCTACCACCTTTTTTTTTTTTAAAGTAAGCCTCAAGCTCCTTCTGTTGCAGAGATACAGGGAGTGTGTTCCGCCAGGCTGGGGCCGGAGCCAAAAACCAGCTCTGTTGAGGTTAGGTGGATGTCCCTTGGGCTGGGGTTTGCAAGTAGATGGTGCTCCACCGAGCATCGAGCTCCTTGGGGAACATATTAGGAGAGATGGTCCCGCAGATATGTTGGTCCCTGACTGCACAGGGCCTTAAAGGTTAGCACCATAACCTTGGACCTAATCCAGTATACAATTGGTAACCAATGCAGTTGGCATTGCACTGGTTGTATGGGCGCCTGCGCAGACTTCCCAGAAGGCAAGCCACTGCATTTTGCACCAACTGAAGTTTCTGCATCAGGTTCAAGGGCAGCCCTGCGCAGAGCAAATTGCAGTAATCCAATCTGGAGGTGGCCAGTGTTCCCTCTAAGATGAGTTAGAGTGAGCCAGCTGAGTTTCTTAGCCTCTAGCTCACACATTTTTGTCTTCGCTCAGGAAGGGGTGGCTCCAGAGCAAACTTCATTCATGCAGCAGCCGAATTGCTCGCTCACAACTTTCATGCCAGCAGCTCACAAAGTAGAATTTTTGCTCACAAGACTCCACAGCTTAGAGGGAGCATTGGAGGTGACCATTGCATGGATCACCATAGCCAAGTTACTATTTTTTTGTGACCTGGGCCTCCATTGAAAGTGAGGCATCCAGGATCACCCCCAAACTCCTTACCATTGGTATGCTCTGCCAAGGGTTGGGAGTTGGATTCCCGATCGCACACACCCCCCACAGCTCAGATACAGGATCTCAGTCTTCAATGGAGTTTGTTTCGGCCGGCTCTTTTGTAACCAACCGGCCGCAGCCTCCAAAGCCTCAGCCAAAATATCTGGGGTGGAGTCCGGCTGGCTGTCCATCAGCAGATACAGCTGGGTGTCATCAGCATACTGGTGACAACCAGTGTTCCCTCTAAGCTGAGTTAGTGTGAGCTAGTTTACAGGTTTTGAGCCTCTGGCTCACACGTTTGTCTCAGCTCAGGAAGGAGGGCTCCAGAGCAAGCTAATTTATTCAGGAGCCAAATTGCTCGCTCACAACTTTAATGCCAGGAGCTCACGAAGTAGAATTTTTGCTCACAAGACTCCACAGCTTAGAGGGAGCATTGGTGACAACCCAGCCCAAACCTCTGGATTACTGGGCAAGAGGGCGCTTAGAGATGTTGACTAACATCGGGGAGAGGATCGCCCCCTGAGGGACTCCATATACCAAGGGGTAACATGGAGACACCTTCTCCCCGAGCACCCCTCTCTGTCCCCAACCATGGAGAAGGGAGACTAGCCATTGCAGGGGGGGGTGTCCCCACATGGGCGATTCCATGACATAAGCAGCACCAATCGACGTCACTCCCTGCCGGAGCTGAGTTTTGTTTGCCGCCTGTCATTCCAAGTGCAATGCTCCGTGGACCTTATTGTTTGCAATGGCATTAAATGTGATTGGTAAATGTCAAGTTTATATACTCTGTTTAGGCACAGGGGGTGTGCGGCAAAGTCCAACCAGCCGCCATACAGTGCTGGAAATCCTCCAAAATGTTGGGAATTAACAGGGGGGGGGGAGTCTCAGCAGCTGGCCCCCTTTGTTGCCCCCCTGACTAGCTCTCCGCATCGCTCTGGGACTGCGTTCCTAGCCTACCTCCCAACCAGCCAGCTGCCCACCCTTACTGGCCTTGGACTGTGCTCCTGCCCTGCTATGCCCCTCCTTGGCAAACAGAGCAATCTTTTTTTTGGGGGGGGGGAGGAGCGATGGCACAGGCAGAGAGACAGCTGGGTACAAGAAGGGGCCTAGCACCGGAGCTTTGGGATCCACGAAACGGGTCCCTGTGACTAAGCACAGCCCCCTTTAAATGTTAAAGAAGTCCTTTTAAAGAGAAAAAAATGCACTTGGTGTCACTCATGGGGGGGGGGGGCTCAGACTTCCCTCCTTGGTTTTGCAGAGCTGGGGGGAGGCATCAGCCCCAACCACTTCCTGAACAGGGACCAGTTTGGTGTAGTGGTTAAGTGTGCGGACTCTAATCTGGGAGAACCGGGTTTGATTCCCCAGTCCTCCACTTGCACCTGCTGGATGACCTTGGGCAAGCCATAGTTCTGTCAGAGCTGTTCTTGAAAAAGAGCAGTTTGTGTCAGAGCTCTCTCAGCCCCACCTCCCTCACAGGGTGTCTGTCGTGGGGAGGGGAGGGGAAAGGAGTTTGTGAGCTGCTCTGAGACTCCCTTGGGTAGTGAAGGGTGGGGTATAAATCCAATCTCCTCCTCCTCCTCCCCTCCAAGGTGGCAGAAATGTAAGATTGCTTCTTAATTGATGGATGGGGATGGCACAAAAAGGGAGAGGGGTTAGGTGGAGTCATCGGTAACCTTGTATTCAGAGGAGGGAGCTGGACCAGGAGATGGGCCATGGCCCTGTGGTAGAGGATCTGCATGGCACGCAGAAGGTCCCAAGTTCAATCCCCAGCATCTTCAGTTAAGGATCAGGTAGTAGGTGATAAGAAAGGCCTTGGCCGGAGACCCTGGAGAGCTGCCGCCAGTCTGAAGAGATGATACTAACTTTGATGGGCGAGGGGTCTGATTCAAAATAAGGCAGCTTCATGGGTGTTCGTGTGCCCAAGGTTTTATGGCCAGAGCCCAGCCTACCTGAGGGACCGCCATTCTCCATATGTTCCCCCAAGGGCACTACGGTCGGGGTGTGTGGGGGAAATTCCAGCTCCTAGAGATGTTAAATTTGCGGTGACCAGGACCAGGGCATTTTCGGTGGCGGCTCCTACCTGGTGGAAGGAGCTCCCGGAAGAGATCCGGGCCCTGCGGGACCTCTCTCAGTTTCGCAGGGCCTGTAAGACGGAGTGCTTCCGCCAGGCCTTTGAGTAGGAGCCACCGCCACCACTATTCCACCTCCGCCTCTTATGCACTGGCGTATTACCATCATGATTATCTGGACCCCACCAGGGGAGCGAGGTGACCGGGCAGGGATTGGATGACAAGATCTCAGGAAGTTACCATGGAGGTTAAGATCTACTCATCTTGGCTAAATTTGTATTGTAAATCTGTTACTGTATTTTATTGTAATTTATTGTTTTATATTATGTATTTTACTGTTATAACCTTCGCACATAGTGCCCTGGTTAGCCGCCCTGAGCCTTCGGGGTAGGGCGGGATATAAATCCAAACATAAATAAATAAATAAATGTGATGTCATTCCGTATGGAGGTGCCAGATGGCTGGCTCAGACAGAGGTGGGTTCATCCAGTCCAGCACTTTGTTTCCAGCAGAGGCCTTCAGGAAACCCCCTACCCCCCAACATGGAAGGTGCAGGTTATCACCTTTTGTCCCCACCCTGCTACTGGAATGCCTCTGAAAATGAAAGTTCCGTTTAGCCATCATGGTTAATGGCCACTGTCCCACAAGAACTTGTGTGAGCCCTTAGAGTCAGCTTTTGTCGCATCCTGTGGCAATGAGTTCCACAAACTGCGTTCTAAGAAAGAGACTTTATATGTCTATCCTGAATCAATCACCTGTTGTTTTCATGAGGGAGCCCCACACGTCTATGCTGTAGAAAGAGAAAGGCCTCTCCGGCCCCGGTCACAGAAGTCCCAACGGATGAAGAGCCTGAGCTGAAAGGTCACACATAATAAGGGGGGGGAGGGTTCAGCCAAGGACGTTCCAGGCCGAAAGGAAACCACCACCACCCCGCAAAATATTCACACAACTTCCACAGTGGCACGTGCCAAAGAGGGCAATCAGACTGTGGCATCAGAGCTTGCTAAAGGCAGGGAGGGTGATGATCAAGGCCATTCTTTGCTACCCAGATGGAAGGGGAAGACCGGAGCACCTGCCCTGGTCCCTTTCTCCACCTAGCCGAAAGCCGTCGGGGGCAGCTCCTGCCAGTTCTAGGTCTGTCCCATGGGGGTTCCACATTCCAGGCTGTTCTCGGAACCAGCAGAAGAATCTCGGGACGAACGGCCCTGCAGGAACCGGATGATCTTCTCGATCGTGGCCTCTTGGTACTCATGGGACCACCTGCAGGTCAAAAGAAACAAGTCCAGCTGAAACAAGCATGGAGGGATCCAGCCTATGGTGCTTGGCCCAAAGGCGTCCCATGCTCTAGGCTGTGCTGGCTGAATTGGAGGAGGCAGGGGAAGGACCAGCCTCCCCCCCCCCCCCGATCATGTTGCATGGCTGGTTCAGGGGAGAGGTGGTGCTGGGAAGTGCCTTCAAGTCACAACCGACTTATGGCGAGCCTGTAGGGTTTTCAAGGCAAGAGATGAGCCGAGGTGGTTGGCCATTGCTGGCCTTCATGTAGTGACACTGGATTTCTTTGGTGGTCTCCCATCGAAGTACTAACCAGGGCCAACCCAGCTTAGCTTCTGAGATCAGACAACATAGGGTCACCAGCCTCCAGGTGGGGCCTGGGGATCTCCTGCTTTTATAATTCATCTCCAGCCGGCAGAGATCAGCTCCCCTGGAGAAAATGGCTGCTTTGAAGGGTGGACTCCGTGGCATTGTACCCTGCTGAGGCCCCTCCCCTCCCCAAACCCCGCCCTCTCCCGGACCCATCCCCAAAGTCTCCAGGTACTTTCCAACCCAGACCTGGCAACCCTACAAGAGTACAAGAGCAGGCTAGCCCGGGCCATCCAGGGGAGAAAGAGTGCATCAAAAGCCATTCCAAAGCCTGGGTGCTCAGCAGAGCTGGGGCCATGCAGAGACTGGAGACCTCCTCCCTCCCCTTGGGTGAAGCTGCAAACATTCCACAAGGGGATGCAAGCAGGGTATTGTGACAAGGAAGAAGCAGATGAGGCAGAGCCCTTTCGTGTCCCCCTCCCCACCCTTTTCCAAATTCAGGGCCCCTTGGATGAGCTTCCCCAGAACTGCCCACCGGGGCTGGTGGCAGCTCTTCTAAATCTTGCCTCCAAAGACCTTCTGCATGCCAAGCACGGGCTTGACATGCAGAACTGTAACTGAACTATACTGAACTGAACTATAACTCAGGTTGCCAATGGCTGAGCCTGTCAAGGTGTCTATACCAATAGATGTCAAAATGCTTAACCTTTGCAAACTTCCAATGGACTTCCTGCTTAAGGCTGTGGTCACACACACGAAATAATCCACTTTCGATCCACTTTCAAACTGGATTTTGCTGTGTGAACTGGCAAAATCCAGTTTGAAAGTGCATTGAAAGTGGATTATTTAGTATGTGTGATTGCGACCTTTGAGTGTTTTCCTGATTGAAAACGAAAGACTGTAATTTGTACTGGAAGGCAGTTCCATCCTTGAGAAAGCTTCAGTGAAATGAGGGGATTTACAACTGGCCGGTCTGTTTTGTTTGCAGCAGGAACCTTTTCATTGGAGATCATCATTAGAAAGTCTTTGCTACTCAAAACAAGGACTGTTCCTCGCAGTTCTTCAAGCGGATACTGTTATAGCGACGTGAAACAGAGATTGTATTAAAGTCTATTCTTCCTGTATGGATTGTATGGATTCATATTTTTATGTGTTTCCCCCTTATTGATTGTATTTCAATTGCTAACGTGTTAGATTGTTTTTGATTCCCATTACTTCGTTTTTTAAAATCTCTTTATCGTTTGTATGAAATATGGGTATAGATACCCTGACAGGGTTATTTCTTGATTTACAGTTGCAGCTGTGTTTCTCACTCTGTTTTGGTTGAATTGTTGAGCATGAGCTGGCCTCTGCTAGCTGTGCGCCTGCCAATGCCAATGGGTACCACTGGTTTAGTTTGGAGAAACGACAGCTGAGGGGTGACATGATCGAGGCTAATAAGATTATGCGTAGGATAGAGCAGGTAGAGAAAGAAGTACTTTTCTCCCTTTCTCACAATACAAGAACTCGTGGGCACTCCATGAAATTGCTGAGCAGTCAGGTTAGAACAGATAAAAGGAAGTACTTCTTCACCCAAAGAGTGATTAACACATGGAATTCACTGCCACAGGAGGTGGCGGTGGCTACAAGCATGGACGGCTTCAAGAGGGAATTAGATAAGCATATGGAGCAGAAGTCCATCAGTGGCTATTAGTCACAAGGTATAGATAGGAACTCTCAGGCTGGGGCAAGTGATGCTCTGTATTCTTGGTGCTTTGGGGGGGGGGGGGCAACAGTAGAGGGCTTCTAGTGTCCTGGCCCCACTGCTGGACCACCTGATGGCACCTGGTATTTTTGGCCACTATGTGACAGAGTGTTGGACTGGATAGGCCATTGGCCTGATCCCCAACATTGGCTTCTCTTATGTTCCTATTTCTGCTGATTAAGTAGCTGTTAAAAGGAAGTGAAAAGGCTCTCTTTTTCTGCTCTCACAGCCCTGTCTTTGGGGAAGACCACAGACCAGTTCCCAATCAGCTGACATGGGTTGCCCCAAGCAAAGAACATTCCCCCATATTTACGATCTCCACCTTCGCAGGCACTGCAAAGAGAATGGACCCATCTTGCGGTGGCATGTATTGCCCTGTTGCCCCCCACCGTGCCCTCTGTCCCTAGACTATCAGGGGGGATTTCCTCTACCGACTCACTTGATACCGTTGAATTTCAGGACAGCCCGCATGTCCGCGGGGAGCGTCTCAGGGTCAGGCCACTCAAAATGGTCCGTCACTGGGATGACATTCTTCCCGCAGCTCAAGGCCGTGGCAATTTCCTGTTAAAGAAATCAGAAGTCTTTTTCTCCCCCTTCCCTTTCCTTTGGAGCACATAAAAAACAGCGGCAGCTGCAGAGAGAGCATTGGACGTCATGGAGAAGGTGCCCAGTTAGAGTCACTTCAGGTTAGACGCCGGCAGGCCTGTAGCTACAGTGGGGCAGCTCGGGGCTAGGCCCCCTGGCCTACTGGCAAGGCCCCACAACCCCCCATTTAGCTCAGGGCCCATGAGCAGTGGCAGGTGTGGGGAAGGAGCCAGGTATCAATTAGCCAGCGCCCCCTAAGAAATTTAAATGCCCCCTGACTTAAAAAATCCTGGCTAAGGGCCTGGACTCCGGGTTAGACGCTAACGAGTCAGCTCAGAATTTCTTCTTAGGAAGGAACGTTCCCCAGGAAAGACTGACCAGTGGCTACAAAGGGAGGGAATCAACAAAATCGTGGAGGTGCCATGACTGGTAGAAGCAAGGAGGTGCCCAGTTCATCTCGTCTGCGAGCCGGAGCTTTCTTAAACCCCCAGGGTCCATGCAAACCAGTCACATGAAGCTGTCCGAGTCAGACAGCCGGAACATCTAGCCTTTCCTGTCTCCTCTGCCCCCCTGAGTCTGAGGACATATTAACTGGGGAGGCCTGAAAGCTTTGCACCCCAAAATATCATCAATATCTGTTGTCAAATTGGCAGATAAGAGACTTCTGCCTTGTCTCCCGGGGCCACTTCCAAGCAGAAAACAGCACAGTGGGGGGAAGGCTTAGACACACACCCACACCCCGCTCCCTGGTTCTGAGTTCCCCTTCGCGGGTAGTCTTTAAGCAGCAGCTGGATAAACACTTGTCAGGGACGCTTTAGGCTGATCCTGCATTGAGCAGGGGGTTGGGCTAGATGGCCTGAATGGCCCCTTCCGACTCTGTGATTCTATGATTCTATGAACTGGAGTGCCGTCCACCTAGGAAATGTGTTCTGAGCACAGACCTCCCAGACCACATCTGATCAAGTGGGCAGGGCTGGACACAAGAAGAAGAAGAGAAGAGATTGGATTTATAACCCGCCCTTCACTACCCAAAGGTGTCTCAGAGCGGCTTACAAACTCCTTTCCCCTTCCCCTCCCCACAACAGACACCCTGTGAGGTAGGTGGGGCTGAGAGAGCTCTTGACAGAAACTGCTCTTTTTTCAAGGACAGCTCTTATCAGAACTACGGCTTGCCCAAGGTCATCCAGCCAGGTGCAAGCGGAGGAGTGGGGAATCAAACCCGGTTCTCCCAGATTAGAGTCTGCGCACTTAACCACGACACCAAACTGGCTTTACACTTTAGGACTTTGTAACCTTTGAATTGGCCCTTATTAGACACTTGCGTAATTTTTTCATTGCTACAGTGGCTGCCAGAAAAGCTAGGGTTGCCAACTCCAGGTTAGGAATTGTGGGTGGAAGCTGGGGAGATTTGTGGGTGGCAGGAAAACCCCAAACCCGCCTCCCAACAGCATTGAACTTGGGGCAAGTAGCCCGCGTGGAAACGTCTCTTGGGGTTGGTTTCTTTCAGTGGGAAGGCACAGAGAGCCGGCATGGTATAGGGGTTAAAGTGTCAGTCTAGGATAAGGGAGACCCAGGCTCAAATCCCGACTTGTGCTATGGAAACTCGCTGAGTGACCTTGGGCCAGTCACACGCTCTCAGCCTAGCCTACCTCCCAGGGTTGTTGTGACGATGAAATGGAGGAGAGGTGAATGACGTCAGCCACTTTGGGTTGGGGAGGAAGGTGGGATGTAAATAAGGTAAGCAAATAAATATCTGGGCTAGTGACTCATGTTGAAATGTCTACACACACTAAAACAAAGTCCGAGGGATGGCTTGAGTGATGCTGGTCTCTGCTTTTAGGTCAGAAAAAGGTATGGCTCAGCTATCAAAGTTATGTGCAGGGGTCATTTCGAGGGGGGACAAGCGGGAACGGCGTTCCGGAAGTAATGAGACCAGGAGTAGGGAACCCAGGCATGCTTGCATGCCTGCCCTTTGCTTCCCCAGCCAGCTCGCTGCGGCGGGTTGGCTGGGGAAGGGAAGGGCAGGCAGGCAGACATGCCCCCTTTTCCCCCTGAGCCTCTCCGCTTTTGTGGAGAAACTCGGGGAAGTGGGGGTGGGTGGGTTTAAATGCCTTTCTTTCCCTTCCTTAGATTTTAAACATGCCTGCCCTTTGTCAGGGGGTGTGGCATATGCAAAAAAGTCACGCTAATGAATTATGCTAATGAGCTCCTGCGCCTCTTTTTCTACAGAATGACCCCTATGTGTGTATCCTTGCTGGTTCAGCCCCGTCCCCCCCTTTTAGTTCCAAGGAAAGGTGGATTCTGAGACCTGCACCAGTTTATATTAATTTTCCAAACTGAATGCTTAATCCCAGGAAAAGGGATCCTGAGGTGGCCCCACTCCCTGACTCTGAAACGCCTGCTCAGCTCCCCTCCACCGTCTGGAAGTCCACCTGGAATTGCCCCGCAAGCAGGGTTCATTTAGTAGAAAAAGAGGTGCAGGAGCTCATTAGCATAACTCATTAGCATATGCCACACACCCTGACATCACCGGAAGTGTGTCAGAAGGCAACACCCACCGGTCAGGCTCCACTGGACTGTTTTGGATTACTAGCTATGGGGGGGGGGGGACGCCCAGATCTGTCCTCGCAGAGGAGGGAGAGCTTGTACCTGAATAAAACTTGGTCTTAAGATAGGGGCATAGGAGAAGAAGAGGGACTAAAAGAGAAAAAAAAAATTGGTTGTTGCAATAGTAACCTCAGATGGATTGTTTTTTCTTTTGTTTCACGATTGTTAAAAATGGGAAATGAGGATATCGATAAGATGAATGAGTTTATGTTTGTGTTTTGACTGATATACTCAATTAAAAATGTAAATACCAAAAAGGTGTCACTGGACTGTTTTGGGCCGGGGGGGGGGGGCTCTGCAACTTACCTGGCTGCTTCTTGCTCTGACTGAGGGCTGCTGGGAGCAGGGGGTGGGGCTTCTTGCATGTGCCCACCCCCTGGGCTCTTTACTGCCAGAGCTCCGCTCCTGTGCGCTCCTGCAGGAAATGACCCCTGCCCACAAGGCTTTGCAGGAAAATAAAGGAAGAAAAAGTCCAAAGCAGAGAGCGCTGGAGCATGACCAAGGCCAGTTTCTGAACATGCACAGAGGGACTGCAGAATGTGTGCCAGGATGTTCTTGTGGTGCTTGGGGGGGGGAGGGCCTTTCGAGCTATCAGTACTGCCAGCATCTTTCTGCAATGCAGCTGCCAGCTGGGGGAAGTGGGGGAGCGGCATGATGCTGCAGAGCATTTGGTCCCTCGCCGTTCTGCCCTCCCCCGAGAGCACCCTTACCTTGTGCACCCAGTCTTTGCACTCAGTGTCTTCCATGCACTTATCCAGGGAATGGGAGGAAAGGACCAGCACAAAGTTGCGGGCACTCATGACGCTCTGGACCAGCTTGTCCTCGAACTTCCCAGCCTCCAGTTTCTCCACATCCAGGAAGACGCTGAATCCGTGCAGCTGGAGGTGGACTTTCAAGAGGCTGAGGGAGAAAGCAAGGGGGCACCAGAACGGAAGAGTCATCTGGCCAGCTGTCATTCTCTCCAGGGGGACTGCTCTTGGTCTGGAGATCAGCTGGAATTCTGGGAGATCTCCAGGCCCCATCTAGAGATTAGCAAGGCTACCTACTTGCCAGCTTACCCAGGGTTATCCCACTCCCTGTTGCTGCAGACAGACAGCTGGGCTAGACAGTGCCTTTGGTCACTGGCTACCGACAGGGCTTTTTTTGTAGAAAAAGCCCAGCAGGAACTTATTAGCATAATAAGCCATACCCAACAGCAGAAACTCGTTAGCCTATTAGGCCACACCCCTGACAGCACAGCTCGTTAGGATATTAGGTCGCACCCCCATGTTACCAGAAGTGTGCTCATCCAGCCACACCCACTTTTTGCTTCTTATTCTCTTTACCTTGTTTGTTGTCAAAACCCAGGGCTTTTTTTGTTGCAGGAACTCCTTTGCATGTTAGGCCACACACCCCTAATGTAGCCAATCCTAATGAGTTTCTGCTATTGGGTGTGGCCTGTTATGCTAAGGAGCTCCTGCTGGGCGTGGCCAACTCAGGAGCCAGACGGAACTCCATTCCTATGCGTTCCTGCCCAAAAATAGCTCTGGCTACCGATAGCATACCAAATCCACCTCAAAGTGTTGGTTCTTACCTTTAAAGCCCTTTATGGTCAGAGGCCGACATACCTGAGGGACCACATTTCCCCACATGTTTCCCAGAGAGCACTGTGGTCAAGGGTTCCAAAATTGACTGACTCTCCCAGGTCTTAAAGACACCAGGCTGGCCATAACTAGGGCCAGGGCCTTTTTGGTAGTGGCTCCATACCGGTGGAATGAGCTCCCAGAAGAGATCGGGGCCCTGCGGGACCATATGCAGTTTTGCAGGGCCTGCAAGACAGAGCTCTTCTACCAGGCCTTCAATTAAGGAGCCGCCCCCCAATAATAACTGTAAGCCCTGCCCTTCGGATTCATCAACAACAGCCTGTGCCGGCCACATAAGAAACAGAACAAGGAACCGATCAATAGGATAGGTCATCGACTTGCTTCCACCGTCGCCAAACATCATCAGCATCAGGGCTTTTTTTGTAGAAAAAGCCCAGCAGGAACTCATTAGCATAATAGGCCACACCCCTGACAGCACAGCTCATTGGCATATTAGGCCACACACCCATGTTACCAGAAGTGTGCTCATCCAGCCACACCCACCTTTTGCTTCTTATTCTGTTTACCTTGTTTGTCGTCAAAACCCAGGGCTTTTTTGTAGCAGGAACTCCTTTGCATGTTAGGCCACACACCCCTAATGTAGCCAATCCTAATGAGTTTCTGCTGTTGGGTGTGGCCTATTATGCTAATGAGTTCCTGCTGGGCGTGGCCAACTCGGGAGCCAGCCGGAACTCCGTTCCTGTGCATTCCTGCCCAAAAATAGCCCTGATCAGCATTATCATTGCCAGACCTAATATGTACCAGCACTTTATGACATTTGGATTGTTTTTAGAAGGTTTTATGATTGTTTTAACTGCTATCTATGTGTTTTAATCATTTGTAAGCCGCACTGAGCCTGCTTTGGCGGGGAGGGTGGGGTATAAATTTGATAAATGAATAAATAAATAAGTGAGAAGCAGAAGTAATTTGCCACTGGCTTCCTCTGCAGAGTCTTCCTTGGAGGTCTCCCTTCCAAGTACTGACCCCACTTAGTCTCCAACTTATGGTGACCCCTGTTACAGCTTTCAAGGCAAGCAAGAAGCAGAGGTGGTTTGCCACTGCCTTCCTCTGCAGAGTCCTCCCCGGAAGTATCCCTTCCAAGTACTGACCCTGTTTAGCCTCCAACTTAGGGCGACCCCAGCAAGGGGCTTTCGAGGCAATTGAGAAGGAGATGTGGCTTGCCATCATCTTCCTCTGCAGAGTCTTCCTTGGAGGTCTCCCTTCCGAGGCTATACCATGCCAGCTTCCGTCAGAGAGGTCTCTAGTAAACTGAATCCCCCTTCCAGCTTAAGTCCATGATCACTGCCCATCCAGTCAGTCAGTCAGTCAGTCAGCCAGTCAGTCTCTCTCTCCATGCCATTTTTTAAAAGGGGCCCTTTTTGTTTTGCCAAAATGTCTCCAAACAACATGCACGGACAACACCTCATGCACCATACCTGGCAACCAGCGTTCCCTCTAGGCTGAGTTAGTGTGAGCTAGCTCACAATTTTTCAGCCTCCAACTCATAGGTTTTTGCCTTCGCTCAGGAAGGATGGCTCCAGAGCAAACTGATTTATGCAGCAGCCAAATCGCTCGCTCACAACTTTAATGCCGGTAGCTCACAAAGTCGGATTTTGGCTCACAAGACTCCACAGCTTAGAGGGAGCATTGCCGGCAACCCTCTCACCTGGCCAGCTGGGATCCTGAGATTCTTCGGTAGCTGATGAACACATCTGTCCCCTCCAAGGTGGCTTTTCCATTGCTGTATGGCAAGGGGGAGTGGAGCATCTCTGGGGAGAAAAAGAGCAAGCAAGGGTGAATGGCTGGATTTGGGCCACAGGCACTGACTGGTCGGCCCTTCCAGATATCAGAAAGGATCTTCAGGCCTTTAAGGAGACCCCAAAGTGAAGAGAAAGGAGGAGCCAAGAAGCCAACAGAGGAACGGTATGGAATGTAATCAGTGGCCTTCTGAACATACCAGAGTTTTGGCTGCTCTGCTCCTGCCCATATGTTGGCCAAGCAGATGCAGGAGTGGATTCAAAAGGCCCTGGGCGGCACTTGTTGCCTCCAGGCCTGCCTGCTGTCAGCAAGCCTTGGAGACTCCAGAAAAACATTTCCCCCCCTGCCTGTCTTTGGCTGATCCTCCCCACCACAGACAGTTCAATGTAAAGAGGCAAGTCAAGAATTCAACAGCGGATGAATACAAATGGAACATTTTTAGAGCCGTGAATCTGCTTTGGGGATGCTCTCTCTGTCTTCAGCCCAGCAGTTCATATTCTTCTTTTCCGGGAAAGGAATGTTCAAAGCAGAGGCAGCACCGATTGGCTTGGCCTGGCAATGTCGCCAAGAAACCCGTTCTGCCTCCCGCCCCTTGTATTTAAAACTTTTTAAGCAAAAGGGTGATAAAGGAGGAAAAGGGAATGTATGGCTGCGGTCACACTGGAGGTTTGGTGCGATCTGGGTGTGTCTCTAATTGCACCGGCGTAAAGTGTTGCAGGGCAGACCAACCAGACAGCACACCCTGGGGCAGTTTCCTCACATGCTTGTCTGGGGGTCGGGCATTCATATTACTGCAGCACCTCAACCACGGAGTGCGCTGCCCGGTCGTTTTTGTTTTAATGCAGGTGGGTGCATGCACATATGCACATGTGCGCGTGTAAGCAGCGACCAAAAAAACCCCAACAGTTGTGGAAACGAATCTGTGGGTTCAGACTTCCGTTCTGGGTTCCTTTAGCAGCGGGAGAGTTCAGACATCTGGGAAGGCAGAGTGGAAGTGCTGGCGTCCATAAACACCAGACTTTCCCCGGTGCCTGATGACTCCACTTTCAAAGCAGGGCAACATGGAGTGCTGACAACTGGGGCACGGGAGGTAGATGTTGCTGTCTGACTGTGCTCTTTAAATCTGCAAATCTAACATAAGAACATAAGAACATAAGAGACGCCGATGTTGGATCAGGCCAAAGGCCCATCCAGTCCAACACTCTGTGTCACACAGTGGCCAGAAATACCAGTGCCATCAGGAGGTCCACCAGTGGGGCCAGGACATTAGAAGCCCTCCCACTGTTGACCCCCCCCCCCAAGAACCAAGAAGACAGAGCATCGCTTGCCCCAGAGCCCCTATCTGAACCTTGTGGCTAATAGCCACTGATGGACCTCTGCTCCATATGCTTATCTAATTCCCTCTTGAAGCCGCCCATGCTTGTAGCCGCCACCACTTCCTGTGGCAGTGAATTCCATGTGTGAATCACTCTTTGGTTGAAGAAGTACTTCCTTTTATCTGTTCCAACCCGACCGCTCAGCAATTTCATGGAGTGCCCACGAGTTCTTGTATTGTGAGAAAGGGAGAAAAGTACCTCTTTCTCTACCTGCTCTTTCCCATGCATAATCTTATAAACCTCAATCATGTCACCCCTCAGTCGTCGTTTCTCCAAGCTAAAGAGCCCTAAGCGCCTTAACCTTTCCTCATAGGGAACTCTACTATACCGTGGCAAACTTCTTGTGTGACCGCAGTCGATGAGTGTTTATTAGGCTCTTACCAAACAAGAGCTGGGTAGCTTGTCAAAAACACAGGCCAGGGGTAGAGTGGGAGACGATTGGGTACAACAGTGATCAATGACATTGATTTGATCAATTAATGGGTTTGCATGCCTGCCCTTTCAGTTGCCGAAGGGGGAAGAGACTGGCTCCCCACAAAGCTGAGAGGAAAAGAGAGAGAGATGGGCATGAGCTGGCTGCTTTCACTTCCTCCACTCGCAGTACCACTGCCGAGCTCAGCTGCAGCCAGCTAGAAGCCTAAGTATGGTTCAGCAGCACCTTATTGTGTCATATTCCCACTGAAATGCCCCCCATGCCCACCTTGCACGGCAGAGGCAAAACTGGGCAGTGCATTACTATCTGCAGCAAACTCCAACATGTGTTTCCCATTGGATCCCGTGGGGTTTCTGTCAACCAATAAAAGTTCTCCACCAGCATTTGTGGTAGCTCAGAGCAGCTTCCGTGTGATTCAAATCAAGCCTTTAATTAATCGTTCCCCGAACTGGCATCCAGCCTTTTAATTACTCATCCCACCACTTCCTCCCTCTTTCCTTTTTATAGTTCTGTTTTTTCTTTAGTGGAACTGGAAATGATGAGGACTCTCTCCTCCTCCTCCTCCTCCAAGGAAAAGCACAGATTGGCTCCGTAGCAGCAGGCTGCCCTCCTGCCTTTGAGATCTTAATTTGCTTCCAGGATCACTTCTCATACTTTCAAAAAACCCTTGATAGTGGGAGAAACAACAGGATTGTGTGGGTGTGAGGCCACCTGGGAAAGACCATCCTGCTCTAGGACTGTGTCAAGATGAATGCTGGAGTACCTTCCCCCAGGGGTCATTTGGGGCTGAAGCGGGCCGGAGTGCTGCTCCGGCAGCCCAGGAGCGGAGGAAATGGCAGTGGCGGCAAGCCCCGCCCCCAGCTCCCAGCAGGCTGGCAAGGGAAGTGAAGCGAGAAAGGCATTTAAAGAGAGAAAGCCCTTTAAAGCCAATGGGCTTCCCCTGTGGTTCTGTGGTTTCTTGGGCAGGTCCTGGTGGCTTGAGCAGAGCCAGATAACAGACTCCACCACTTACCACGTGCTGCATTAAGGATTCGGACCCGATGGAAACCAATGTCCATCCGGCAGTCTTCTTGCAGCTGTTGCTCAGTGACACGATGGAGGAAGTTTCGGTCGATGCCGCAGGTCACCAGGTTGTAGGTGTACTGGCGGAATTTGGGGTCCACGCCGCCCAGCCAGTCAGACAGATTGCTCCGGTCGCAGGTGGAGTAATTGGCATACGTCTTCAGTTCGGTCAGTTCACGGAAAAACCTGGGAAGGCAGAAGGGGGCCGGGAAGCAATTTGACCGGGTAGTTTGGGGTTGGTGTTCAGATGCAACATGGCTGGAGGTGAGTGAGGCAACTTACCTGTCCCACAGGGTTAGCCCAGGGTTGAGAAATCCCTGGCAATTCCTGGGGGTAGAACCTGGAGCAGGCAAGGTTTGGGGAAAGGAGGGAGCTCAGTGGGGTACAAGGCCATAGAGTCCACCCTCCAACACAGCCATCTTCTCCAAGGGGCTGAGGAGGAGGGCAAGGAGCTGTTCCGGTTGGCAGCAGAGGATAGGACCCGAAGCAATGGGTTTAAACTACATGCAGAAAGGTATCAGCTGGATATTAGGGTCAACTTTTTCACGGTCAGAGTGGTTCAAAGGTGGACTCAGCTGCCTAGGGAGGTGGTTGGCTCCCCTTCACTGGCAGCTTTCAAGAAGAGGCTGGACGAATATTTGTCAGAGATGCTTTAGGCTGGTCCTGCATTGGGCAGGGGGCTGGACTAGATGGCCTGTAGGGCCCCTTCCAACTCTATGATTCTACGATTCTATGATCTCTGTAGTGTGGTGATCAGCTACAATTCTGTGAGATCTCCAGCCCCTACCTGTAGGTTCAACCAAACATACAAAAGCAACCTTAAAGAACGCAAACCGTTGGAACCAGAAATATACTTGTTGAATATGTTACCAGACAGGATAAACTATAATGATACACGTTTGATATTATATATCCTTACAAATGCTAGAATACTTATAGCAAAATGTTGGAAGTCTGATAAAATACCAAATAGAAAAGAATGAATTACAAAAATTATGGAAAGAAAAGAAACGGACAAAGTAAATATGATACTCTCGGGAAAGTATGAAAGTGTGTTTAATAAAAGATGGCAGAAAGTAGATGGTTGGAAATTTATGGATAAGAAACTCCAAAATGTGATGTAAATGAATATACTTTTGTGTTATTTTTATGTTATGAAAAAACTAAAATAAAATATTAAAAAAATGCAAACAGAATCTGTTCTTTACAAAAATATTTATAGTGATACAACAAACTATCATGCAAATTAGGAAGTGCACTATTGCATTAAAAGACATACAAAATACAAGCGGGACATAAACCCTGCTGAAAGACAATCTTAAAGGGACCGAGCCAATAAACAATCCTCTTAGGCTGTAAGAACGGAAAGAAACATTCTCTGCAGCAGCCAAAGACAAGTCCCTTGGAGCACGGAGACGTCGAGGTTTGTAATACATGACAGATAGCCGCCGAGCTCGTCATTAGGGACACTTGCCACCAATCACCTGTGAATTCTTGGAAACGAGCGGAAGCCCCACAAGCCTCATGAAGACTAACAGCTTGATAAAGATGTCGATTCGAAACAGGCCTGTCGTGTATCTTGTATGTCTTTTAATGTAATAACACCCTTTGTACTTTGCATGATAGTTTATATTATATGACTATCAATGTTTTTTTGTAAAGAACAGCTTCTGTTTACATTCTTTAAGGTTCCTTTTGTACGTTTGGTCGATCATACTGTTGGCAACCTTCTCCTTGCTTGTTTGCCCACCTGTAGGTTGGCAACTCTCCCCAGGGGTAGGTCCGTGCAGGATCAGGGACAGCGAACAACCCAGCTCTCATCACACTGTAACAATCCAAAGGCCAGATCTCCAGTGCTAGGGTTAGGACCTCTCAGACTCGCTGCTCTTTCTCCTTTCACTGGATATTTAACGATATTTAACAGGAAGGGCCAATGAAGTGGAAGTTGCCACTGATTTGGAAATGTGACCTGAACTGCAATTTTTAAATAAAGTTTGGAAAGACCACTATAAAAACGAAGAAGTTTGGCCTCATTAAGAAACGTTCCAGGTGGTTCTGTTGAGTGACACATTTCAGTATTTTAAGGCATTCCCAGCCTTACCGCTTGCGAGTGATGCTGGAGTCCATGCCAAGGTCCCCCTTCAAGTCCTCCTCAGTCAGCCGCAGCAACAGGTCCCCATCCACCTGGTGCTCCTGCCAACGGAAGAACACTGTTTAATGTCAGTCCTGCTACTGAAATTTCAAATGTCCAAGGATTCGGGAAACAGGAAGGGCTTGGAAGGAGGCAGGCAGGCCAATCTGGGTTGGCCAGAGATCCTCACCAGGTAGGGGTGCTAAGTCGAATCTCCTTACCGGCAGGGGAGCATCGCCGGGCTCCGGGAGCTCTCCTCAAATGCGCGCGCCGCCAGCACATCCCGGAAGTGACGCACGACATCGATCACATTGGGGGCGTGACCCCGATCGTCCATGGTGTTTTCCCTCCGACGATCAGGGCCACGCCCCCAAGGTGATCGATGTGGTTGCGTCACCTCTGGTGCTGTGGCCCCGATCGTCGGAGGGAAAACCATAGAGTTTTCCCTCCGACAATCGGGGCCACGCCCCCAATGTGATCGACGTGTTTGCGTCACCTCTGGTGACGCAGCCACACTGTGCTTCGGGGGGCGGAGTTCCCCCTGGGGCCCGATTTCGCGGCGGCGGAAATCGGGCCTCCAAAGCGGGGGTTTACCCGCCACCCACCCCCACTTGGCAGCCCTATCACCAGGGAGAGTGCCGGAAGCAGTGGGCATGCCGTGGAACCTGGAATGATAGGATCCTTGGGACAGGATGCATGTCAGCTTGCTGTCAGCTAGGCCTCTAGCTGCCATGGAGTGTGTGTGTGTGTGGGCTCTGGAATTTTAGGTTTCTTTTCTCTGTGCCTTCAGTGTTTCTTTATCTCTGTAACATGAGTGTTTGGCCTTGGTGTCTAGCACCAGCTTTCTCCTGGGAACCTGGACCCGCTTCTACCTGTTCCATGATTGGCTCCAGGCCATCAGGGGATCCTCTTGAATTATGCATGTGTGTTTGCTTCGTGCGCTTATTGCCAGTTCTGACACGAGATGTGTAAAGACAATCTGCATACTTCAACGTTTCAATAAACTTTACTTCTTTGCGAGAAAGTTGTAGGGAACTGATTGCTGCGGGAGTCTGACACTTGCCGGGGTTGGAAAATTCCTGGAGATTTGGGGGTGGAGCCTGGGGAAGGTGGGCTTTGGAGAGAAGAGGGGCCTCAGCAGGGTATCATGCCACAGAGTCCACCTTCCAAAGCAGCCATTTTCTCCAGGTGAATTTATCTCTGTCGTCCAGAGATCAGTTGTAATTCCAGGGGATAGCCACACCTCACCCGGAGCTTGGCAACCTATTATTACCACATAGTTCCCACGTGGTCCATTAGCGAGCTCAGACCCCCAGTTTTCAATGGGGCAAATAAAGGCAAGATTCCAGGCTTCCTAAAAGAGAGTTTTCTCCTTAACTTAAGCTGTGGAAACAGGTCCATCCTGAGTTCCCTTTGTTCTAGCCAATCATGCATAGGTTCCCAGACTTATTTGGCCTATTGCCAAAAGGCTGCTTTAGATAGGTTCTGGACTCTTCTTTCTTTATGCTTCCACTGCCCCCTTATTTGTATCCAATGCCCCCCAATTGCACCCAAGACTCCAACTGAAGAAGATGTCAGGGACAAAAGAAACTGGATTTACACCCCGCCCTTCACTACCCAAAGGAGTCTTACAAACTTACAAACTCCTTTCCCTTCCCCTCCCCAAAACAGGCACCCTGTCAGGTAGGTGGGGCTGAGAGAGCTCTGGCAGAAACGGCTCTTTTTCAAGGACAGCTCTTATCAGAACTATGGCTTGCCCAAGGTCATCCAGCAGGTGCAAGTGGAGGCATGGGGAATCAAACCCGGTTCTCCCAGATTAGAGTCCACACTCCTAACCACGACACCAAACTGCCCACCTGGATCGTTCCAGCACCCTCAGGGGGCGGTGTTGCCCACTTTGGGAACCAGTGCTGCGAGGGAAGGGATGGCCCTGACTGACCAGGATGGCCATCTGTGTTTGTGTGGGGTATGTGTGTGTGTGTGGGGGGTTGTTTTTATTTTTACTTCTTTGGCTTCTAAAAGTCGGCCATTATAAGGAAATGTATCTCACAGCTCTTCAAATCACTCCAGAAACCAACGGTAATGTAAGACAATTTTCACCTTCTTTTTAGATATAGTCAAGGGCAGTGCTTAGGGTTGCCAGCTTTGGGTTGGGAAACGCCTGGAGACTTTGGGGGCGGGAGCCCGGGGAGGGTAAGGTTTGGGAAGGAGGGGGCCTCAGCATAGTATAGTGCCAGAGAGACCAGCCTCCGAAGCAGCCATTTTCTCCAGGGCAATTGATCACTGTCATAGGGCTGCCAGCCTCCAGGTGGGGCCTGGGGATCTCCTGCTTTTGCAACCGCTCTCCAGCTGACAGAGATCAGCTCCCCTGGAGAAAATGGCTGCTCGGAAGGGTGGGCTCTACGGCCTTGTACCCTGCTGAGGCCCCTCCCCGTCCCAATCCCCGCCCTCTCCTGGATCCACCCCCAAAGTCCCCAGGTATTTCCCAACCCAGACCTGGCAACCCTACTCTGTCGTCTGGAGTTCAATTGTGATCCCAGGATATCTTCAGGCCCCACCTGGAGGTTGGCCCTTCTAGGTGCTTACACCAATCCCTTTCTATTGGTAAGTCTGAGAGAAGCACAAAAAACAAATTGATGTTAACTATTTAAAAAGTAAAAAATAATATTAAATGGTTCACTAACAAGTCAAAAAGCCCAAAAGCTGGTGGCATTGCCTAGTGCAGAGGTGTCAAACTTATTTGTTAAGAGGGACAGATCTGACATAAATGTTACTTTGTCGGGCCGGGCCATGTCTGCCACGAAATGTAATGCCAGGTACCAGAGATAGAAACTTTATAAAGGACACAGGCAAACCCAATTAATGGTATTATTTTTTTTACTCAAAATACAAACAAAAGCAATTGATTCCTAGCAGTGAAAGCAAGTGATTAACAGGGGAGCCCCCAAAAGCCCCAATAAATGTATTTAATCCTATGCAAACTAGGTTTTTTCTTAGGGGTACCTTTTATTTCCATATCTACCAGTTGCTTGTGGACTAGGCCTGCCAAATCTCGCCAAATCGCGGCGGGGGATCTGCATGTCTTTGCAGAATCCTTGCTGCGGGGACGGCGAGACGCGTTGCACCGCCGTCACCAGGACATGATGCTATGCGTCAGATCCTGGCGACGGCGGGTGCAACGCATCTCGCTGTCCCCGCAGCAAGGATTCTGTGAAGACCTACGATTCCCCGCCGCAACTTGGCAACCCTATTGTGGACCGGGCAAGAGCCCTGGATGGGCCGGTTCGGTTCCCCAGACCTTATGTTTGACACCCCTGGCCTAGTGGATGGAGGGCAGGCACTTTATCCTAGATTCGTAGTCCCATGGCATACTTCAAAAGTCTGTTTATCATTAACTCACACACTGCAAGTCTGATATTTATCTTCGGGAGAAGTGGACATGGGAAAGAAGCTGGCTTGCCTACAAAGGGATTGCTTTGTAATTATTTTCTTTTTACAGAGCTCAGTCTCAAACTGTTTTGGGGAGGGGGGGGCAGGGTTCTGTCTCACTCTGAACACTCGCAGAAACGCTGACGTCCTGATTGACCTTTTTCCTCTCTTCCTTTGAGTTTCATACTCTGAAGAAAGTGTCTTATTCCCATCACACAGTGTTGCCAACTCTGGGTTGGGAAACGCCTGTAGATTTTGGCGGTAGAACCTGGGGAGGGTGGGGTTTGGGGAGGGGAGGGAACTCAGCCGCATATAATGCCATAGAGACCGCCCTCCAAAACCTCCATTTCCTCCAGGGGAACTCATTTCTCTAGTCTAGAGATGAGCTGTCGTTCCAGGAGACCTCCAGGCCCCACCCAGAGGCTGGCAACCCAATACCCTGTGGCCTGTTGGTCTTCCAGTCAGATGCTGAACTTCAGCACATGCTTGGATTGAGAGCATGCCAGTCGATGGAAAGCATCTCATGGGTGGGGACGGAGCTATTGAGATATATGTCTAGGTTGAGGTAGCAAGCAGTTACTGGATCTAGATCAGTTTGATCTGTATGTAAGTCTTAGCTGTCATGCTAAGTGGTTAAGACAATTACAGCCAGGTGTTAAACTACGAGGTGATACTCTTCTAGCATTGTTAGAGTAGGAAATTAGTTTATCCTGTTAGTGATTGGCTGGGGTTAATATATAAGCTATCAGCTTGATAAGCTGCGTGGGGGATTTAGTTCTCTCCAACTAAGGCATGTTATGCTGTAAGACAGTCTGTATATCTCTGTGTAAATATTCACCATTATCTCTAAGTAAACTTTATGCACCTTCATCACCAGTTGGTCTCCAGCTTCTTCTTTACTGCACCCAATAGGGCCAGCCCTGGGTGGGGAAATACCTGGAGATTCTGGGGGTGGAGCCTGAGGAAGGTGGGGTTTGGGGAGGGGAGGGGCCTCAGTTGGGTATAATGGCCATAGAGTCCACCCTCTGAAGCAGCCATTTCCTCCAGGTGGCCTGCCCTCTGTCGCCTGGAGATCAGTTGTAATAGCGGGAGATTTCCAGCCACCACCTGGAGGTTGGCAACCCTAATGGAGCAAAGAAAAACAGGGGAAAACAACTGTGAGCTGAACTTCCCGCAAATATATATACATACAAAAGGAGACTTCAACAAAGTGAAATGCATATATAGTCTGGAATGAATCTATTCATATAATCCCTCATAGGAAAATACAGAAACCAAGAAGACCCACAATAGGGAAATAAAAAGAGTAAAAGTAAAGGTAAAGGTTCCCTTGCTCGAAAGCCAGTCGAGTCCGACTCTAGGGTTGCGGTGCTCATCTCCATTTCAAAGCCGAAGAGCCAGCGCTGTCCGAAGACGTTTCCGTGGTCATGTGGCCGGCATGACTAAACACCAAGGCGCACAGAACGCTGTTACCTTCCCACCGAAGCGGTCCTTATTTAAAAAGGTAAAGGTTCCCTTGCTCGAAAGCCAGTCAAGTCCGACTCTAGGGTTGCGGTGCTCATCTCCGTTTCCAAGCCGAAGAGCTAGCGCTGTCCGAAGACATTTCCGTGGTCATGTGGCCAGCATGAGTAAACACCAAGGCGCACGGAACGCTGTTACCTTCCCACCGAAGTGGTACCTATTTATCTACTTGCAATGTCTTGCTTTCGAACTGCTAGGTTGGCAGGAGATTAGGAAAATACAGAGTCGCAATTCAATTCAATTCATTTCTACACTCCTTAGGCCAGTCATACAAAAAGAAGTACACCTTTACAATATTCCAAGATTTTAAGATATATCAGTGACACATTAAAAACAAATGAAAATTTAATCTAATACCAAACAACTGTATCTAACTAGCTACCTTAGAGTTTCCGTGATCTGAGTATCACCATACAGAAACTGGCTACTTGGTGGGTAATTTTGGGGTATCTATCAGATAGAAGAAACTCTAGCCTAGCTTTTTCGGAAAGATCCGTAATTTGTTCAGTCAGCGGAGTGATTTTATTACGCGCCACCTTATAATACGGACATCTAAGAAACATGTGCTCTGTAGTCTCAACCTCCCTTAATGGGCAGGCACAAAGCCTTTCCGAGAAAGGAGTATTCTTGTATTTTCCTTCAAGTACAGCAGAAGGGAGGGCAGAGCACCTCGCTACAGAGTCCAAAGTATACATATACAAGATAAATCCAACACTTTTCATAGGTAATTTTCAGAGTTTCAGATTTCTGGTCCTTCCTCAGGAACAGAGAACAACTCTTGGGAGTCTCACTCCATTTCCTTATAGGATAATGCTATTCTGTTTCTTCAACATTGGGCAAGATCTCCTAAGCTCTAGCCAGCACCTCTATAGGCTGCTTCTATGTAACAGGACCAAAACATATTACATAGAAGGAGCCTTTAGAGGTGCTGCTGACTAGAGCTTAGGAGACCTTGCCCAATGTTGAAGAAACAGAATAGCATTATCCTTTAAGGAAATGGAATAAGACTCCTAATAGTTGTTCTCTGTTCCCAAGGAAGGACCAGAAGTCTGAAACACTGAAAATTACCTAGGAAAAATGTTGGATATTTATCTTGTATATTTATACTTTGGACTCTGTATTTTCCTATTGCGGGTTTTGTTGGCTTCTGTATTTCCCTATGAGGGATTATATGAATAGATTCATTCCAGACTATATATGCATTTCACATTGTTGAAGTCTCCTTTTGTATATATATTTTTGCGGGAAATTCAGCTCACAGTTGTTTTCTGTTTTTCTTTGCGATTTCCTCCTGAGTGCTGCAATGTTCCCTCTAAGCTGTGGAGTCTTGTGAGTAAAACTTCTACTTTGTGAGCTACTGGCATTAAACTTGTGAGTGAGTGATTTGGCTACTGCATAAATTAGTTTGCTCTGGAGCCATCCTTCCTGAGCTAAGACAAAAATGTGTGAGCCAGAGACTAAAAAACTGTGAGCTAGCTCACACTAACTCAGCTTAGAGGGAACAGTGGTGTGCTGTACTGTTTGTCGTCGCAAACCCTAATGGAGCAGCAGGACTGGTGGTCTGCTGTTGGCCCAGAGCCCGGCTTATGGTTCGGTGAAATGGCGATGGTTCTGGACTGAGGGAGACGTGGGAATTAGCCTAGCCTGCCCCCACCCTCGCAAGCCTCACCAAGAAAAGGGGGCAGTATTTGACGAAGCCGATCTGCTGGAGCCACTTCTGCACCTCCAGGGGTTTCCAGTTGGGCACGGTGGGCAGGAGGCGCCGGGGTACCTCCTCTCCCATGGCACAGAGAGCCTTCTTGGCCAAGGAGGAGGTGGTGTCGTTGGGAGAGTAGCAGACGATCCTCTTCAGACTCTGGATGGCCCCAATCTCAGTAAAAATCTGGGCAGCAAAAGAGGGAACGGTCAGTCGGGCGAACCACCCTGGGGGACAGCGGCCTCACTGGCGTGCCTTCATACCGAGCCGGTCCCAGAACTGGCAGCTGGCTTTTGCTTTCCCAGTGTCCGATTCCCCATGCATTCGAAATAAATCCACGTTTGAAGAACAAAGTCAAATTTATTATAAAGCGATGGTTAGATCAGGAACACAAGAATTGTTAGGAATGACTACAGACCCCAAAGGGTAACATAATAAAGAAACTTGAACCAGGTTAGGACCAATGAGTCCAATTCCCGCTGGCGGGAATGTAGATAAAACTAGCGCCCAATTCCTTGGGAACGCAACGGTTCTACAACATAAACACAAGTTCAGTTCTCAGGCATCAGATACATAATAAGCAAAGCAACGCCATAACTCCATCCCACCTCCAGCTGGTTGACCTTGAGCAGTTCCGCAGATGTAGCAAGCAAAAGAAAGTAAACACCTACACAGGAGGATACAGGGGGGGATGGACAGAGTACAATGTAACATGTAGAATAGAACACACCACCCTATGGCAGCTTGCTGACACCCAGCCAGTGACAGATGGCTTCCACCTTCCCAGAGTTCCCACCTGGTGTCTTCAGCATGATTGTTATGCCATTCTGTACCTCCTCTGTGCACCCCAAAGACCACAAAACAAACATTACAAATACATAACATCCAATGGGAAAGACCTGACATGAGGAAACAGAAAATGGTACAAACAAGTTCAATTTGCGCCAAGGTTTAATGTGCTGCCACCAGCAGTATTATATGGGAGATTCCAAAAAATTCCATTCGACAGTAGATTGCGTTCCTGCACTAAGCAGGAGATAGAAACTCTTGAACATGTGTTTCTTTCATGTACTTTCTACTCGGACCTGCGCCTTACATTCATCGAGCCAGGGTTGAGAAAGTATTCCGGAAAACCTGATAAATGTAAGACTTACTTTTTGCTGACAACCCAGAATCACATAATAATTGAAAGTGTTGCAAAATTTCCGTATGAAGCTTCAAGAAAGTGTTCAGTATTCCTCGCAAATTGAGTCTTATGTTCTGTATGTTATACCAATAAAGGTCGATTGAGTGAGTGAGTGAGTGAGTGAGTGAGTGAGTGAGTGAATTTGCCCCAAGGAAGCAGCAGCAGTGAAACAGGGCTTTTAAAGCACCTCAGCAGGATAATTTGAGCCCTGACCTGGCTGGCCCAGGCTTGCCTTATCTTCTCAGGTCTCAGAAGCTAAGCACTATTGAGATATAAAGACAAGATGTGATGAAGATGAATTTAAAGTAATCCTGCCCCCACCATATGAAATGTCATTCACAGCAAAATGAAGGGGATTGGGGAAATTCATGAGAAGGGCATTTATCATTATCTGTTACCGGGGATGGCTACGTGGAGCCTCCATGTTAAAAGGCAGTCTATCTTTTGCATATGTGATGCTAAACAACAGGGAATTATGTTTCAGAGGGTAGCCATGTTGTTCTGCGGTAGAACAGCTAGATTCAAGTCCAGTAGCACGTTAGGGATCACCTCCAGGGAACTCTGACTCTCAGAAACTTATGCCGCCAAAATCTTGTTGGTCTCTAATAGGCTACTGGATTTGAATCTAACAAGGATTTATGTATCACGTCCCAGGATGCTGGATTCGATGGATCTTTGCAGCCTGATCCAACAGGAGCTGCTCTTGCATTCTTGTAGAGGGTGACTCCCTCCAAGCCTTTCATAAAAACATAAGAACATAAGAGAACATAAGAGAAGCCATGTTGGATCAGGCCAATAACTCATCCAGTCCAATGCTCTGTGTCACACAGTGGCCAAAACCCAGGTGCCATCAAGAGGTCCACCAGTGGGGCCAGAACTCCAGAAGCCCTCCCACTCTTGCCCCCCAAGCTCCAAGTATACAGAGGATCACTGCCCCAGACATAAGAGAAGCCATGTTGAATCAGGTCAATGGCCCATCCAGTCCAACACTCTGTGTCACACAGTGGCCAAAACCCAGGTGCCATCAGGAGGTCCACCAGCAGGGCCAGAACTCCAGAAGCCCTCCCACTGTTGCCCCCCCCAAGCACCAAGAATACAGAGCATCACTGCCCCAGACAGATTCAACATCTATACCTTGTGGCCAATAACTACTGACGGACCTCTGTTTCATATGTTTATCCAGTCCCATAAGAACATAATCGAATCCCATAAGGACATAAGGTGCACTATACACTGTATGCTGTACAGTATTCGATACTACACACACTATACTATACTATACTATACTATACTATACTATACTATACTATACTATACTATACTATACTATACTATACTATACCATACTATACCATACTATACCATACTATACCATAGGAACGCGCCCCCCCGCCAGTCCTTCCCATTTTAAGCCTTACCTTTGTTTTCTTATGCCTGGCTTTGATGGTCGCCTCGACACACAGGTAGAAGGCAGCGATGCACTGGACTTCCAGGCGGGAGCTGTCCAGCAGGGGCACCAGGCGCTGCAAGTCGTCCCCCGTCCTTCCTTGGCTGTTGTCGCTGCTGCCCAGCAGGGTGCAAGCAAACTGCCCTGGGTCCAGGGTGGCGATGAAAGGCTCCACCAAAGCGAGGGTCCCGGAGCGCTCCACCTCCTTCTCGATCTCCTTGTTGGTGGCCAGAACAGTGATGGCGAGGCAGGCGTAGAAGCGGATGAGCTGGTCCTCCTGGGTGAAGGCCAGGGGGAAGAGCCACTCCGCCGCCCTCTTCTCGGCCATCAGCCGCTGGTTGGCCTGCCCCCCGTACATGGCGCAGTTGGCCAGGGCTGTGGCACAGTGGCGCAGCACCACGGGGTCGCTCCAGCGGCACCAGTAGAGGATGGCGTCGAGACCACCGTCGGAGATCAGTTGGTGGCAAGTCTCCTCCGAGTGCTTGAACATGTGCTCCAGGATGCCGGAGGTGCTCTGGGCCAGCTGAGGGTTGTCTCGCTCCTTGGACAGGTTGAGGATCACCCCAAGGCCGATCCGAGCAATTCGGTCCCTGGCGACAAAGGGAGGGGTCAGGATTCGGACTACTCTGCTCACCGAGGCGGGGGGGGGGGGGGCTCTGCTGAGGGTCATTGAAGCAATGGCTCTGGGTAGAGTTGCCAGCTCCGAGCTGGGAAATTCCTGGAGATTTGAGGCTGGAGTGTGGGGAGAACCGGCTTTGGGGAGGGCAGAGACATCAGCAGGGTGTAATGTCAAAGAGCCCACCCTCCAAAGCAACGATTTTCTCCAGGGCACCTGATCTGGAGATCCTTAGCTGCTGTAGATTTTCTGGGTTGTCTGGCTGTGGTCTTGGCCAATGCTCCCTCTAAGCTGTGGAGTCTTGTGAGCAAAAACTCTACTTTGTGAGCTACTGGCATTAGAATTATGAGCAAGCTATTTGGCTGCTGCATAAATTAGTTTGCTCTGGAGCCATCCCTTCCTGAGCTAAGACAAAAGCGTGTGAGCCAGAGGCTAAAAAACTGTGAGCCAGCTCACACTAACTCAGCTTAGAGGGAACACTGGTCTTGGCATTGTAGGACCTGTTTCGCCAGTAGCTTTGACTGGCAACCTCAGAGGTATAACACAGAAAGACGGTGTACTCTCTGTGTCAAGGTGAGAAGAAAAATGGTAGGCAGGTAATTTATATCTACTCAGGAAGGTGGGGTAGGGCTGAGTCATTATCTTGTAGGAGTTCCCCAGGCTGCGAAACATGCTAATAGAGGAGCTTTCCTGAGGTCGTTCTTTTGTATATGGATTGGCTGTTTCCTGAGAACCTCCTCTGGAAAGCTCCTCCATTAGCATGTTTCGCAGCCTGGGGACCTCCTACAAGATAATGACTCAGCCCTACCCCACCTTCCTGAGTAGATATAAATTACCTGCCTACCATTTTTCTTCTCACCTTGACACAGAGAGTACTCCGTCATTCTGTGTTATACCTCTGAGGATGCCAGTCACAGCTACTGGCGAAACGTCAGGTCCTACAATGCCAAGACCATGGCCAGACAACCCGGAAAATCTACAACAGCTAATGAACTCCGGCCGTGAAAGCCTTCGACAACATATTGATCTGGAGATCAGTTGTAATTCCGGGGGATCTCCAGGTCCCACCTGGGTGTTGGCAAGCCTGCTCCTCACCCTCATTCTGTGCTGCTAGCTGCATAGGCTGTGATGCCTGCTGCCCATGCCTGGCTTTGCCATCTGCATGAGATGAGAGGAGAAAGAGGGTTATTCTCAAAGTTGGGGGATCAGGCCCAAACCACATGCTCCAGCTGGAAGCATGTTGGCCCCTGAAGTTGTTGGACCAGCAGTTATTGCTATGCAGTGATGGAGGACATGCACTCTGTACGGGTTCAGAGGTACCCCTGTAACACAATCCTGGTTTATGGTGACATGTGGCCCTTGCATGAGAGCCGGGCAGAAATGGCCTGTGAGCTGAAGGAGCATCTGTGAAGTGGATGAGGTGGCAGGCGGCAGAAAGTGAGGGCTTGGGACTTGGCCTCGGCTGGGGCACAAAGAAGAAGAAGAAGATTGGATTTATACCCCACCCTTCGCTACCCAAGGGAGTCTCAGAGCGGCTTACAATCTTCTTTCCCTTCCCCTCCCCACAACAGACACCCTTTCAGGTAGGTGGGGCTGAGAGAGCTCTGACAGAAACGGCTCTTTTTCAAGAACAGCTCTGACAGAACAATGGCTTGCTCAAGGTCATCCAGCAGGTGCAAGTGGAGGAGTGGGGGAATCAAACCCAGTTCTCCCAGATTAGAGTCCGCACACTTAACCACTACACCAAACAAAGCTGAAGCCTGGGGATGAATCACAGATCTTGGAGGCTGGAGGGCGCAGGGTTGCCAGTCCCCAGGTTTGTATGTGAACAAAAAACCAGCTGAGCTCTGAGCAGGAGCAGGAGAGAGAGCTGTGAGAGAGGTGAGTGGGTTTCTTTTACTTGCTTTCAGCTGAGAGAATTCAGCTAAGGATATTTTGTGGGAAAACTGTGTTTAGCAGTGTGTGGAAGCACTTAGAGTTCTTGCAGAGTCCTGGCTGATTGAGTGTGGGAGAGGAACGGGCACTGTTTGACTGGGATTGCCTGTAATTGAGAGGAAGTGGAAGGGGCATTGTTTTGCCTGTGATTGAGTGCCTGGGTGAATTTGAATTTGAATAGCTGCTGCCTGACCTCTGCTGGGGGAGGCCTCTATTTAAGGAAACACCTTGCCAGAGGCACGAGCC